AGAATGGAGTATTTTGGAAAAGGGAAAAGCCTCTAGAATTCTTCCTTGCTTTTACCTTCTTCTGTTTTGCAAAACATGTTCTTTGAAAAAAAAAAATAATAATAAAAAATAGACAAGCAAACTTTTCTTTACAAAACTAAGCCTTTCAGCAATAACTATACCAAGCAAAGCCACTTAGATGGGATCCCGAACTATCAACAAGCATCATGCCTATGCAAAATAGCACAAGTCATGCAAAGCCAAGCTATTACAAAAAGGGCATGCAATTCTTGAGGTGCCGGAACAACGAAACCATTGTAGCCTTTCGATGAGCAATTCAAAACTTCACGACATCCAGAAATTCTTACAGGAGCCTTTGTGAAAATCATGCATACAATGGCCTGACCCTTTTAAAGGTGCGGCAAGAGGGTGCATTTTAGGCCAAATGAGTAGACAAGCCTTGCGAAAGTTTTAAAGAGCAATGCATCGAAGATTTAGCTCAAAGATCCTATCAAAATTTCGACAGCATAAACCTTGTTCTTAAGGCTAGCCAACCTGTCAGAAAGATTTCAAGAAGTTCACAAGAGCAAATTCTCCCAACCAAGCAATATATATATATATATAAGATGTACGGATTACAACATGCCTCAAGCATTTAGAAATTAATGCAGGTTCCAGCGGTTCAATAGTACATTACAAAGTCGTAACGACATAGTCGTTAGACTATCTGAAAAGTACATGGCCATTGCAAAAACAAAGTTACACATGTTGAAGATTTGTACATCCTATGGTATCAAGAAAGATGGAAGCTGTGCACTGAGCCAACTGACCCCAAGCCAAAGAAAACAACCTGTGAAATAAAAGGAGGCAGCACTGCCGGAAGGTACAGGGCAGTGCCAGCAGCTATGTCGAATGTTCCGAGAAGAAGAGGAGTAGAAGGCAGCACTGCCAGAAGGTACAGGGCAGTGCCAGCAGCTATGTCGAATGTTCCGAGAAGAAGAGGAGTAGGAGGTAGCACTGCTGGAAGGTGCAGGGCAGTGCCGGCAGCTATGTCGGATGTTCCGAGAAGAAGAGGAGTAGGAGGCAGCACTGCTGGAAGGTGCAAGGCATGCCGGCAGCTATGTCGGATGTTCCGAGAAGAGGAGGAGTAGGAGGCAGCACTGCTGGAAGGAGTAGGGCATTGTCTACACCTGCATCGGATGTCCCAAGAACATGGGGGGCTGCCGAAACCAAACCCTTCTTTATGCAGCACCTCGATATAGACGCAGGATCAATCACTGAAGCAGTTTCCGTCACTGGCTCTTCGCTTACTGCAACATGTTCACAAGCATTCTTGAGCAATGGAGGGGGTCTTCCCCTCTTCAATTTATCATCCAGTGAATAAAGGTGGTCACTAATAATTGACAACGGGTTGATGTCATGGCAGGTCTTGACAAGCAATGAATCCCTGCAAGAATTGCCAACAAAGAATATGCTGAAAAATGGTTCTCTGTGTTAAAGCCAAGCAATCTCCACACTAGCATGCAAGCGATATGAACTTTACAAGCCAAGCAAAGCAAGCTATCTCATGCCAAGCGAAATGCATAAACAAAAAAAATATTTTCGAAGCATCATGCAATCTATTACTCAAGCTCATGACAAGAAAATTTCCCATTCCATGCTCAATCAATCATTCCAGCAGACCCTTTTTTCACAAAGCAAGTGCTACAAACTGAACACTGTTTACCTCCTAGTAACCTTTTTCACAAAAACAAAAAAACAGAACCCCTATGAGTTACACAGCATCCTTGCAGACCCATCATACACATGTTTATATCTAAAGCCAAAAAAATAAATAGCCATCCATGAACAAGCTCTAAGCTCATAAAAATTTAAAATTTAAAATAAATAAATAAATAAATTAATTAATTAAAAATTAAAAAAACTAATTGTGCTTTCCTCAAGCTTTCAAACAGCCTCTGATCTTACGTATTAATCATGCGGTTACAAGCATACGCTCTTGATCCATATAGTTCAACAACAATCAAGAAGGTGGTCAAGAACGTAGCACACGCAAAATACACGCCAAGCATGGCAAGTAAAGCGCACGCCAAAGGAAACGCTTAAGCAAATATCCAAGCAGCATGCAATTTATCCATGGCAAGCAAAATTTTTAAGCAATTCCCATGACAAGCAAATTCTCCCTCAAAATGCAAAAAGATTCAAGCATTGCAGAGCATGCATTCTGTCAATTTCTATTTCCACAACATGGGAGAAAAGTCCAGATTTATTCAAGCATGCGTTCATAAGAAAAACAAGCCTAGGCCAAGATATCAGTCTATATCTATTCCTACAGAGTTAAAAAGAAGGACCTGAGATTCCAGCAAACAAGCAAAGCCCATGGGCATGAAGAACCCAACAAGCCCCTCAATAGATTCAAGAAATTGCAAAGAGGAAAGGGCATACCTTGTTAATCACCTCGAAGGACGACCTCAAATGCACCAAGAAAGAAGGGAAGTTGGTTCTAGAAGAAGGGTAGTTGGTGCCGGGAGAAGGGTAGTTGGTGCTAAAAGAATATCGTATCTACTATTTCACCCTACCATCTCCTTCAGCACCATTGTTGATCTCATTATTTATGCAACCAGCTGACCCATCATTGCAATTATCCCCATGTTCTTCTACATAGACTTTGGCATCATCATTATTCTCAGGCATACTTGAGAATTGGTCTTTCTGAAGATGGATACCTCGGCAACTAATACTTGCAAGAACTTCTTCTCGTGGCTATATGACAACTCCTGAAAAACATAAATACATCAATTAAAGAAGAATGATCATGTCTCAAGAGTACATTTGCAGCGTTGGTCTTTCTGAAGATGGATACCTCGGCAACTAATACTTGCAAGAACTTCTTCTCGTGGCTATATGACAACTCCTGAAAAAGATAAATACATCAGTTAAAGAAGAATGATCATGTCTCAAGAGTACATTTGCAGTGCTTACTTTGACATTTAATTGACTTGCTATTATGGATGCGAGCGTTAGAAGTTGTCACAGAAGACTTCACATACTGAGCATGCTTGGGGATTGGTGCAGAAAGTTCTTCTCCGGCCTTGAGAGGGCTAATCGCGACCACTTTTGCACTAGCCTTGGATGACGATCAAGCAGAGAAATGCACAAACAACATGCAAAGATAATAGGCAAGCTCATTAATCAAGCATTTGATCATGGTATAATACCAACTCACACAACATATACTATGCCAAGCTCATAGAGGAATAAATGAGGCCAACACGCTCAATGCTAAAACATGCCAAGCGAAACTTATAGATGAACTTTCCTACCATGTCAGCTGGACATCCCACCTTTGGAAAATCGCTAAAAATCAAGCCTATAACCAAAAAATCCCAAACTTTCCAGATTCTTACTAGACATATCAAACTTCATTTTTCTAAAATTTCATTACATTTAGAGTTCGGGAAGGCTGTCAAACAGATTCCCAAAACATGTCATGCAGCAGGAATTGCACAACCTCAGCAGCTTAGCCCATACTTTGAAACTACTCCAAAAATTCATTTTTGCTTCAAATGACACAAGACCAGTTCCAACATGACCATTGAAAAGCCTATTTTCATATGTCGAAAGCTCCAACCCAGATTTGAAAAGAAATTTTTCAAAAGTTCAAAAAACAGCCAGCAAGCTACTTTGAGTCATTTTCACGAACACTTAGCATGCATTACCTAAGTAAGCTTGTGGAAGTCTTGTTTATCACCAAGCTAAAACCCTAAATCACAAGCTCAACCACAGAATTCAGTGCCTAATTCACAAATTTTGAGAAATACGAAGGAACTCAAGCTTCAAGAAAACAAGCATGCATCAAAGGCATCAACATCAATCCATGTACACACTTTGGAAAAATGAGAGCAGAGAACAATACAATGGTCGGATGATCCCCAATTTTGGATATGTGGTAAACAACATAATTTCAAGCAAGTTGCCTTTTTCTCCATTCTCATGCACCACTTTTGACCTAGCTTGAAGAGTTTAAAATTGATTATTCAATTATATATATGTATATGTAATTGAATTTAAAATTTAGTTTCTCTATGGCTCTTTGTTGAGGCCCAAAAAATCCATGGTTGGGCCCGAATGAATTCATGGCCCAAAAGCGATATATTATCGAGAAAAGACTCGATTTGGAGCACGCAAAAATCTGCCATGCACGAGTTATACTTCGCATGCCATGCCAAATAAAAATCCATCATGCTAGAAAATAAGATTAAAAGCATAAAATGCATTTAGCTCTGCAAATCCATGCTAATTATCTTATCAAGCGTCGTAATTAAAAGCATGCCAAGCAACATGCCATGCCAAGCGGGAAATCGTTATTTCACACCCAATTACACTACAAGCTTAAGTGGGCCCAAGCCACTCAAATGCCCGGGGCTTGCTTGAGTGGGTTGTGGTATGGATGGTAACAAGTTATCATGGGGCCCATCAATGGGTTAAGAAATGGAAGTCTCGGGTCGCTTGGGGGCCTCGGGACTCAGGCCCATTTTCTTAAGCCCAAACATGGGTAAGCACAAGGAAGGAGATGAACCATTGCCTCAACCAAAATAGCCCATTAACCCAATTAGAATAAACTAGCCAAAATAAGCCCATTGGTCCAATTAGAGTAAACTAACCAAAAAGCCCAACATTTGACAAAGCCACCCCATCCATTGGATAGATCATGTGGATAAAAAGCCAACATAATTAGGATAGAAACTAGCTCAGACTCTGGCACTCAGTTTGGAACCAAAACCACAAAACCAACGTTGGAAATCTGCACATGGGAGGCTGCTGGGAACTAGTTCCAAGTATAGGAATTCAAGAAACCAAGGAATTTTAGCACGCAAGAAGGATGCCACCCCTTAAACCAACGGGTACAGCCACTTTCTTGCCTTCATCAGACTTGACCATGGAAAGAGGAAGAAAGAGGAGGAAGAAGATGAGTGAAAAGGGGAAGCTCCCTTCTGAGGCAGCCGCTGGAAGAGGCTTGGAGCACCCAAAATCTCTGATTTTAGGGGATAGGGCAGAGCTGGCTTTGCCACCATGAGATAAGTCAAGAAGGAAGAGAAGAAAGGAAGAGAAAAACTTAGCTAAGTTAGGAAGAAACCATTAGGGTTTCTTGGAGAAGAGCAAACCCCAGCAACTATAAATAGGGCCTCTTCTACCCAGCCAAAAGAACAATCCACAGCCTTCAGAGAGCAAGCTTTCTCTCTTGAAAACCCAGTAAATTTTCGTGCTTTGGTAGCCCATCTCCCCTGCTTTGGCAAAATCGCTACAGTTTTAACAGAGTCACTGTCGAGCTGCCGGAAGCTGCGAAAACTACCCAAAACTCTCCTCCTTAGAACCTCTCCTCTCTCCCATTAGAATCCCTAACCTCCATAGGAACCCACAAACTTTCTCTTTCCCAAAGTGCTAAACCCATGATAACTTCGCTCTCATGCCACATGCCCCTCATGCCAAGCCTAGAAATTTATCTGTGAATGTAAAGAAATTATCTGTAAAATTGTTGTTGCTTTGTTGGAGAAGATAACCAAAATACTTCCTAAGGCTTTGCTGCCCTTTCGAGGTATTTTGGGGCTTAATTTCGAACTCAAACAAAGGGGGACAACTTCATCAGCCCAGCCCACTTGCTGCCGGAAGAAAAAAGCCCCTACACTCTTCTTCTCATAAGTTTGGCAAAACATTTTTTAGTAGAAAATGTGATTTACAATTATACTACTAATTGACGGGAAAGAATAATTATATAATGCAAAAACTAACGTATAGAAGCTTTCTAATGTGTTAGAATTTTTTTTTTTAAAAAAAATCCATATACTACTAAGATTCAAAGGTAGAATACAAGTAGTACCCGATCAACTTGTGCAAACGCGATTATATATTTTATGTTTATATTAGCAAGGAATAAACCTTCAAACTTATTTTAATATATATCCGTGCCTTTTTTTCTCGACTAATTTTTGTTGTTGTGCCGCATATATGCATATATATAATTGAATTTAAAAATCAATTTCTATATGGCTATTTTTTTCATGAGTTGAGCAAAACATTCTTTAGTATATAATGCAATTTACAATTATATACAACATTAAATGAAAGGAAAAGAATCATTATATAATGCAAAGCTAATGTACAAAAGATTAGAATATATAAAGAGTGCTGCTAAATAAACCCTAAAATTAACTGAGTACACACTACCAAACTATATATTGAATTACTAACTTATCAATTGATGATTGCTTGTTGCCATATTTTTTTCTTTTCTTCAAGAAATTTTAGCCTTATAGCAGCAACGGGAAATTTAACTTTAATATTATATATATTTCATATAAATATATAATACATATATTCATTAACAAATAAAGTAGCAAGTTCGACTGATCTAAACTATGCATTCCTATTATAATTTCAAGTTTCTTATATGCATTTGTTTTACAAAAGTTGTGTTCAAGTTCTATCCTATAAATTGAACATGTTTTTCTTAAAACTATCAATTCTTCTAAGTCTCTTATCTTTCTCGTCTCTCGTCTAAGCTCAAGTTAGACATCGTTATTTAGGACATAAATGTTTTGGGGAGATAGAATTTCCAAACCAGGACGTGTATGAGGACAACTTTTGAGGCAATAACGAAAAAATTTCTTGACGCAATTCATCCTACAAGAAATGCAATTGTATTCAAAGGCAGAGAAGAACATAATCAAACTTTATATGGGCTCGCCAAGTGTTGGGGATTAGTCGTGGCGCAGAACGTCACCGCATATCTTGCATAAGCTGCATCCATGAAGCAAGTCAACAGGTTAGAACGTGCTGCCCTCAACAATCAGGAGCTATAATTTGGTACAATAATTGCTTCTTAAAATACTCAAGCAAAAAATTCTTAGGTAGAAGTGACAATGATAATGGGATTTTTGTGCGGAATATGAAATCGGTTCATGCTCCATTGTTGTCTAATATGAATGTCCAACAACTTTTAAACTGATTGTGTTTGCAATCTACTCTTATTGGACCTTTTTTGGCTCAAGGTCAAAGGCAGATTCAAAATCATCCTTTGAGCGCCAAAAAACTTTGTATCCTTTTAGGTGAGCCATTTTTTCCAACAAGAGGTGTCTTGATGTCGCAATGAGTGATCTAGAGAACGCAAGCAATGGAAGGAGAGGTTTTCGTGTTTATTATGGGAGTTGTTATATAAGATTTGAACTTTATCGCTTCATTTGTTGATGAATAGAATTGGAGGATAGATTCTTTAGAAAAAAAGCCAAAAAATCCTAGCCCCCCACCCTTAAGCGCCGCACAGGGGGGGAGGTGGTCTCTGCCTCTCCTCCCCTAACCCCCTATCTCGCCCCTATCTTCCTCCTCTCTCTTCCCTCTCAATCCTTCTCTCTTTATGTATCCTCCCTTTTTTTCTTCTATTATTTCCTTCCCTTTCCTTTCCCGTGGATCTTGGTTTTGTTTTTTGTTTTTTGTTTTTCTTGTTTCTGGTTGCAGGTTTTTTTGGTTTGGTTGTTTTTGCTTGGCTGTAATAAGAGTTACTAGTGGTGCTATCTATCTCGGCAGAGGCGGCGGTGTCGACGTCGACGTCGGTAGAGGTAGTAACGGTTGCTATGTTGGTTCGCATGTGATGTGCAAGCAGACACCGTGAAACACCATTGTCGTCATAATTTAGTTGCCACTTTTGGCCCTCGTATACAGGGTTTTGGCTTCAATTCAGTGTTTGGAGTTACAATAATGA